GCAAATATTTAAACTTCTTATTGGTTAATTTAAATTCAAATAGTAGACCTTATATGGTATAGCGTAGTACCCTCCCCTTAGACCAAAGTACTCCCTGTAGTATAGTACCCTTCCAACTTCACGAATTGGTAAAATACCCAGGTACTTTAGTCAACCGTTTACGGTAAATCTGAAGCATTTAACATTTAAGAATTAGAAAAAATAGTTATTAAAGAATTGAAATTGATTCCTAAAGAAATATATCAAAAACTAATTAATTCAATACTTTCTCAAATCTATGCAATTATTTCTGCTAAAGAAGATAATACTAAATATTAAATATATTATACAAATTTATTGTAGTAAATAAATATAAATAAACATCAAATAAAAATTATTCAATATTTATTTTACCATTCTGTAATTATCTATAATATTATAAGGTTATATGTAAAGTTATTTAAATTTTTAAAATACTTGTATATATTTTATAATAACTGTTCTAACAAGTTTTATCTGAAACTGCTAATATATAAGATTTTCATAATTAATTTTTTACTAATTACATAATTTTACTATAAAAAAATTATTATTAGTATTTTTAAAAATATATTGCAAGTTTGATTGCATGATTCATTAATACTTTAAAACAGTTTAATTTTTTAAATATTTTACATATATAAAGGTTGAATTAATGTATAAACAAGACAAAGAAATTATTTTTCTATTTAAATTCTTAATTTTTATCTAATATTTAAAAATTTGTTAAAAATATGCATATATTAGATAAAATAAATATTATTTATAATTAATTATTTAATTATAACATATGAATTTGCAATAGTTTTCAAAACTGTTTCCTAATATTATTATAACAGATAGTGTAAAGTCCAAAGTACAAATGTAATGAAAAAGACTAATCATATATCAACTCGAATTTTAAACAGATGAACAACAGAATATCTTATATAATATGTAGTCAGTATGTGAAAGTCTTTCACTTTACTCTAGACTAATAAACTTTAATATTTTTTTCTGTTTTTTCCATTATTTCAATATGTGTTTTCTTTTCTAAGCTAATATTTGTTACTTATTATATAAAGGTTTTTCTTTTAATATCATTAAAAATATATTTAAAAATTGTTTATTTTTTATATTCATCTAATTATTAAATATAAGTATAATACTTACTGGATCTTTTTTCAATGTAATTTTTATTGCATTATTTTCTTTAAAAATAACTCTATCTAAATAGTTTTACCAAGGATTTTATAATCAAAAAGTTTGAGAAAAGATTAAGAAACTCAAATAATTCTCTTATTATAGAATTATTAATCTAGTATAAAGTTTATAAAGTTTATTCACAAGAAACTATTAATTTAATTAATAATATATAAAATCATTTTTTGTCTTCTTTTGATAATAATTTAATAATAAAATTATTAAACAGTCTATAAAAAAAATGAATAATAACTTTCTAAAAAAATCAAAAAAAGTAAATGTAGTATCACTAATTTGTAAAGCTACAAAATTAGTATTAATTTTGAAAAAATACTACCATATAATAAAGTATTAAAAATTTAAAATTTTAAGTAATCTTTTATTTTCTAATTATTATTTATTATTTTTATCAAAAAAAAATTATATTTTTTATTTCAAATATTGTTGTTATGAAAAAAATAGATACATTTTTTAAATATTATATTATTTAATCTGTTTTATTTAAAAAACAATTTTTTTTCTTTATCCTTTTCTAATACATTAATACAATATTTTAAGATTACTTTGATTAAGACTTTTTTTACTTTTAATAATATAAATACTTTGTAGTAAAAAGTAAAAAACTACTAAAAGATTTTTTTAAAGTTAATATTAAATTTCAGATTTATTTTACTAAAAATAATATTTAGCTTATAAAATAAAAAATTTTTTGTAATATCTTTTCTTTCTACTAAAAAATGCTATATAATTATTTAATAAATTTAATAATGTTGACATCAAGAAGTTTGTATTAAAATTTAATCAAAATGATTTTTAAAAAAAAAGTAGTTGCATAATTATAAAAACAATTTTTTTTTAAAGTTTGATCTTTTGTTATATAGAATAATCAGATATTTAAATAGAAAGAATTTTGGATGAGACATATTTAAAATATAACTAATTAATTGAAATATAATAAAACATAGATTATTAGATAATGTTTAAAATGTTTTAGTTTGAATCATTTAAGTCAGACATTGTCTGACTACATTATTATATATAAAGGTAAATGTAAAAAGTGATCAAATTGTAAATTTTTTTTAAAGATTTATTTTTAAGTAAAATAGATATATTTTTATTATTTAAATTTAAAATAATTTTTAATGATTGAATAATAAAAAATTTTAAATAATATTAATATTAATATTTAAAATTTTATTTATTACTTATTATATTAATTTTTAATAATATAATTTAATAATAATTAAATAAATGCTATACTGTAAATTTTAAATGTGTTTGGCCGGCTTTAATATTAGTTCTGACCGGCATCACGTTAATTTCTATTTTCCGGTTTAGGAAATAATTTGGTTTAATATTTTGTAAATAAAATATAAATAATAATATATATAATAGAAAGACTTTTCCTTTAACTGGGAAACTCTAAAATCTCTTAAAATGACAAAAAAAACTTTTTTTTCTCTTTTTCCTCGAACAATTAATTTTGTATTTTCTCGGTTCCAATTTAGCAATAAATTTCTCAAAAGTTCTGTAGATTCCACTTTAAATTTCTCTACCAAATTTTCTTTTGATAAAGAAGAAAAGGAACTTTATCTTAGATTAACTCAAGCCTTTCGTGAAAATTTGAAATCAAATCGTCATAAACCTGAAATCTTTTACGATAATTTAATTAAATCTTCAATATTGGAAACGTCAAAAATATTGGAAGAACCTAATCCAGTTTCCGATATATTTAAAACCAAAGAAATCAAAAATATAAAAGCAAATGTTTATTTAGCTTCAGAAAATAAAGACATTAACAAATTAAGGGAATTATATCAAAATTTTAAAAAATTAGCAATTTCCGATGAACCAGTATATAAGGAATTTATAATAAGTTTTATTAAAGATGACGTTGGAACAGCTAAAGCGATATACGAAGAAATGCGTAATAATGGAGTATTACCCACCATCTCTACATTGGTAGCACTTATCAAAGCAACAATGAATACACCTGCGGCCGATTACTATGTCAGAGAAATCAAAGATCTAGGGTTACAATTCTTTACTAAGAATCAATTCCATGTGTTGTTAAATTATTACATTTCAAGGAAAGACGTTCAAGGGGTACAATCATTATGGCAAGAAATGTTAAATCTAGAAAATAATTCAATAATAGACTTTAAACCAAATAGTTATTCATATGTAAGATATATCGGGTTTCTCTGTAAAATGAATCTATTAGACAAGGCAATCAAAACACTTCATACAATGGAGAACGAAGGAATCCGACCTTTCCAAAGAGAATTTTTAGATTATGTAATTCAACCTCTTGCCATGAATAAACATCCTCAAGTAGCGTGGCAATTCCTTTCTTCTTATCGAAAACGAGTGTTGAGTTCACCAAATATTTATTCAAATTATTATTCATTAATCTTGGAAGCATTCGTGAAACAAAATGACCTTAATGCAGCGAGAAGAGTTTTGGTTGACATGGAACTAACAGGAGTAGAACTCGATGATAAAGCCAAAGAAATTCTTGCAAGTATACAAAATATCAAAGTTCAACTTGGTGAGGATGAAGCATACGAATACGGATTGATTCCTGTTTTTAATGCAGGAAAACAGTAAGTACTCGTAAAATAATAAAATAACTAAATCACTCGTTAGAACATCAAAATGTATTAAAAGTGTTACAAACTGTTGATGTAACTTGTAACACTGGTCACGTCATATGGGGGAGGTTGGTTTTTATATAAATTTTGCAAATATTCATAAATAGATAACTTGATCAACTCCAGTCACAAACCACGAGTCTCGGGCCACGAGTTATTTTTTTCTCACTGTAAAAACCTCTTCTAATTAAGAATTACAAAACAAATGTCAACTAAATCACTTGAAAAAGCACTCCCTACAGAGTGTATTCACGAAATAATCTCTCATTTGACCCAAGACTCTAAAGCTCTTAACAACTGTATACGTACTAACCGTTTATTTGCGCGACTTTCTGCTCCACTTCTTTATAAAAATCCTTGGAAATATTTTTCTATTGAAGAGGAAGAAGGTGAACTTGTCAAAAGAGAAATTAATCCAAAAGGTGCTTTATTAATTGGAACATACTTAAGTTGTTTGGAAAATGATTTGTCGGTAGAATTCTCCTCTTTGAAAGAAAATTATATATTAATCACAGCCAAGACATCACTTGATTACATTTCTTTTACACGCCATATTAGTGTTCCTACAATGTATCGATTTCTTGAAGCAATGGTTGCAACAGCTACAACTTCAAATGTTGAAAGATCTCGTATGATTCAGGAAGCTTTTTTGGCTTTATCAAAGGCATTTAACGATCGTTGTACTTCTATTGATTCCTTAGAAACTTGCTGGCAAACGACGTGTGATATTTTTTCTCCAATGATCCGACGCTTTCCTAATGTTGCACATCTAGATCTTTTACAATATGAAAATACAGATGATACTCTGAGGTTTATTATTGAGAATTGTAAGAGACTTCGCGTTTTTAAACTAGTTGTACGTAATTGTACTCCAATACTTTTGTCGAATCTTGTGGAAAAACAAAAAGGTTGTCTCGATGAACTTTGCATCAAGATCACTGCATCTCCAAAATTATTGTTAGCGGGATTATCACCTTCTGTTATTGCTAAAATTACCGATCTTCGCATCAATGGTCTTCAAATTGATCATGCATTGGACGGTCTTAAGTTTCAAAAATTAAGATCTTTGGACATTAGTGATTGTCATAGTGTTGAAGACAAGACATTTAACGTTGTGGAATTTGGAAAGATGTTAACCGAAGTTAATCTCTCAGAGACCAAAGTGTCTGAGGAAGCTATTATTGCACTCGCCTCGCATTGCAAACAAAACCTTAGGAAGATGATCATGTTACCTTGTGGTGCTGCTGATTCTGTTGAAAAAGGCATCAAAGCTCTTGCGACACATTGTCCAAATCTTGTTGAATTCAGATTAGACGTGATTCGTGTAGAGATTAAATCCATCATGGATCTTGTAAAATCATGTAAAGGAATGCAGGTACTAGTCCTGGGTGGAGTTGAAATAAATAACGAAGATTGTTTACTTGATGAATTAATGGAAAGCATTAGATCCAATATTAGTCATTCAATAACTATGCTTGATTTGCGTGAATGGGGTGTTAGTGAAAATTCCGTAATAGAATTGGTGAGGGATTGTCGTAAGTTAAGTAAATTATTCTTAAGGTATTGTCGTAATGTTAACGATAATTGTATAAAATCAATTTGCAAATTTTTGGCTGGTAATCTTAAACATCTTGATGTTTCCAATTGTCCCTTGGTAACTCCTGATGTCATCACAAAAGCTGAATTGGAATTGGTTGATTGCCGGATAATTTATGCTTCAAGGCTTTATTGTATTGATATTTAATGTTTTGTTTTATCTTTAGTATACTATTTTTATTATCAATTTTGATTATATTATTTTTCTTAAACAAATTATTTAGTTTATTTTATTTTCTTGCGCTTTTTTATTGTATGAAATGTATATTTGTGTTTTTTTTTTTGTTTATTTATGAAATATATATTTGGCTTTTTATTAATTATATAGAATTTTTGTCACATGATTATTTTTTTTTGTGTAAAACTTCGTTTTACAATTTAGTTACTATATTAAAAACGCGTGTAAATATAATATTTAAATAATACGAATGATATACTTTGAATTTAGTAATTTAACAGATTTATTATTTATTACACAATGAAAAAAAAGATTTTTTTTTTTTCTTTCTTTCAAGTGGCAAATGAGTTTTCCAAAAATGCTAATTGAAAAGTAAATTATAATAAAGAATAATAATATTGGTAATTTTTTTTTTTTCTTAAGATATCACACAACCTTTTTTTTGCCAAAGAAAATATATATAAATAAACATTCTTAAATTTACGTCAAAAAAGAATACTAAAAATATAATGTAAGTAATAGTAATATGTGTATATATAGTATTTGTATGATTACAAGAAATCTTGCACTAATAATATATGTGGTATCAGAGTTTTGCAATTTTCAAAATATATATATATATATATATATATATATATATATATATTTTTAATTTTCTTTTTGTTATTATGGTATACTAAAGTCTCTTGAACCCACTGCCCTACGATTTGCAGGGTTATTACCTTCCGAATACCACAACGACTGTCCACCAACATAATTTGATCCCCATATGTCGTTCGTCCCTATATTATTACTACCAACATTATTATTACCACCATTCATTGGTAATGATTCTCCTACGTGATTATCTGTTACATTTTGTCTTCCACGTATTGGAGGCCATTCATTCTCACTTGCAACAGATCGGTGTGATAAACGAGTTGTCCCGTGTTGTTGCTGTTGTTGATTCGGTGATGATTGCGGTGGATTTGACTCTACAAAAATTGTTTTTAACGAATTTATTTATTTATTTATTGACGGACTCTTAAATAACTACAAAGAATCCCTTCAATAAGGAAATCCAAAATAAAAAGAAACAATATAACTTAAAAAATTATTTCCTAACCTCCGGGCATTGCTGTAGAAAATAACGAATTAGAAAAATATGAACTTTCAACAAGAGCTAAACTCTGTCTCCTATTTACCATTGGATGAGGTTGGTCTTCACCAAGCAAAGCATTGGATCCGACCATATTACCAAAACCTGGTGGCGGAGATCTTGTGTTCGTATGAGCATCCAGTGATTGTCCTGTACCAGAATTTCTTCTTGGACGTTGTATCGGTTGGGGTCTATGTATGGTCTTTACATGTGAATCTTCTGGATGCTGAGACATACGACGATGCCCGATAGGAGCTAATGGTGTGCTTTGAGGAACATTAGATACCATGTGAGATACTGGTGGTTGGCTAACGACTTGTGTCCCTAAATTAAATGTCTGTGGTCCTAATGAACCTTGTCCTCCACCTATAGGCAACCCACCAAATGCACCAGTTTGTGGATTTCCTGATACTCCCGTGCCAATATTCCCACTTCCACTCATTACAGTATTTTCATTAAGCAATGATAAATTTGTAGAAGCCACTGATGGCGGTACTCCTGAAGGACCGGCTAAATGTGGTGTTGGTGCGATCGGATTAAAACCTCTAGGAGGTGGTATTTGTCTCATAACTTGATGATGAGCGTGCATTGGTACTGGTGGCCCTCCATGATGTGGATGAACATTCATACCAATTGGACCCAAACCAGATGCAAATAAGGATGATGTAGGATTTATTCCCTGTAAAGTGTTCGTTCCTTGTGGTGGTGGATTTATTATTTTCTTATTGTTCGTAAAAACATCATTAACAACTTCATTTGTCATTCCTGTGGGACCATTCATAATTCCAACGGGTTGTCCTCCAAATTGTGATTGTGGCCCGCCAGGACTAAATAAAGGATGTGGTGTGGGTGGTGGTGGATGAGGTGGTAAATGAGAATTTATAACATGCTGTGGGTTTATAGGATGTTGTGGGGGAAGAGGTGGATGGTGTTCATGTGATGAATAATTCATCCAATTAATTCCATTTGGCATTGAACTAGATTTATTATGTACTACCGTTGTACTTATCGTTGGTGGTGGTGGTGTCTGAGCAGAAGGTTGACCAATTGGTGTAATTGTCCGCTTTCGTTCATGATGCTGCTGCCTTACTGGAGGAACACTAGCAGCCCTTTGTTTTTCTTCTCTCTCTTTTCGGTCTTTCTCTTCACGATCTTTACGCTCCTGTTCCTCCTTCTCTTTTCGCTCTCGCTCCTTTGCTTCACGCTCTTTCTTTTCACGATCCTTGCGTTCTTGTTCCTCTTTTTCTTTGCGCTCTTTCTCCTTTAATTCACGTTGTTTACGCTCTCGTTCTTCACGCTGTCTACGTTCTTCTTTTTCTTTTCGAAACTTTTCTTCCCGCTCCTTACGCTCTTTTTCTTCTCTTTCTCTTTCCTTACGCTCTTTAGCTTCTTGTTCTTTTTTCCTGCGCTCTTCTCTCTCTTTATCTTCTTTTGCTTTTCGCCTTTTCTCCTCTTCTTTCCTTTGTCGTTCTTCTTCCCTTGCCCTCCTATCTGCCTCCTTTTTTAGGCGTTCTTCCTCACGCTTTTTACGTTCTTCCTCTAATTTTCTATCACGTTCTGCACGTAATGCTTTCTCTTCAGCTAGTCTTTCGGCCTCTTTTCTTGCACGTTCCTCCTCTTTTTGTAGTTTCAATGCCCTAAAGCAAAAAAAAATTAGATAAGTATAAATTTTACTAGGGGGGACAAATACTTTTATTTCAAACCTATTTTTAGCCTTCTTTTTCTCCTTCTCTTTTAACTTTTTTAGCTCACGTTCTTCTTTTAGTCGATTTTCTTCCTCTAATTCCTCTAATAACTTTTGTTGCCGTTCTTGAGCAACCTGTGTAAATTAAAATTTTTATAATAATTAAAAGATGTATTTTGAAAAGTCCTTTTAAAATTTTTACTACGAACTTTCTCTCGATATGCATTTAACACCCGCTGCTCAAACATTCGTGCCGCAAATATCTGGAACATCCGTCGACCTTCTTCCATACGTTGCTCATCTGTCTGATTATCCTATAACAAAAATTTTATTAGTATAGATGTACTTCTATTCGTAAATAGTAATAATTGAGAGTAAAATTCATTGTACTTCTTCAGCATCATCTTCGTATTCCTCATCATCGTCATCATCATATTCTTCATAATCACGTTGTTCCATTGCTGCTTCATCCTCTCGTTGCATCCTTCGTTCAGCAAGTCGTTCCATCATTTCAAGAAACTTTTTACCGTCGTTTTTTAAAAGATCGTCTGCTACGGTCAAAATGCCTCCTGAGTCAGTATATACACATTAGTATTTATATTCTATTGAAATTGATATTTTATAAACTAAATAACTTTCGATCATCAAGAAGGCTTTCTAACCCCGCTAGGTAATCATCACGCACCTTTTACGGTCAAACTATTACCAAAATTAAAGATTTCCCTCCGTGTATCGCTTCCATTCTCACTGCCTTCATAGTCTTCATCATCATCCTCATCATCCTCATCGTATTCCTCATCATCGTCCTCATCATCATACTCTGCAGAATCATTTCGATATTCGATATTTGAGGGGCCGAATTGCTGTTGTTGGTTCGCATAAGATTCTAGTTCTTCATAATAAGCATCATAAAGTGTTTCCAGCTCTTCTTCAATAGCGGTCCTATATTACATTCCAAATATTTTTATAATAGTTTTTAATAATAGGTACAAATATATTATTTATCTATTTGTTTATTAAATGAATAAATAATATATACATATATGCATAATATATATATATAATATTTATATTAACCGAATAGAAAGCTAATGCCAAGTTGTAACATGCTCAATGTAATTACCACGTAGTAGATCAAAATTTCCACTGAATTTTGAATCTTTTACATCGTTGAATGCTTTTTTTTATAAGCAATTATCAAATCGAGAGGCAATAATTGATACTAATAATACTTGAAGAGTAAAAAAAAAAAAAAAAAAAAAAAAAATAATAATAATAATAAAATAAAGTTCAAAGGTGCTAACCTCTTTTTGCCACATACAGAACAAGAACATGAATGCTTTTGTTGTTCTTTCATTTTTTTTAGCACAGCTTCCTTTTCAACTTTTACTAAACTTCTCCTTTCCTCTTCACCCAACTGTAACCAGAATTCTCTTATTCGTTGTCGCTCTTCGTTATTATTGGTATTCCAGATACCGTCTTTACGGGATTTGTGACTATGATTATGATGAGGATGATTGTGGTGAATATCTGAAATTTGATTAATATTGAGACCATTCTTATTCTTCTTCTTCTTTTTCTTTTTCTTTGAAGCAGTATTAGTAACATGATGATTATCACCATCAAGATTTGCGATAGAATCCTTTCGTGGAAAAGGTATTTCGGGGTCTTCCGGATCATACCCATCTTCAGAATCGTAATCATCTTCATCTTCTAATTCAACGTCCACTACATCTTCACCATCGTCACTGTTATAATTTACTTGATGAGCCTTTATATGATTATTATGTGAGCCATTCGCTTGAATATCAGGTTCTTCTACATGGTCTGCAGGAGGTTTTCTCTTACTCTTCCTTTTCTTTTTCTTTTTAGCTGTACCGTTATTATTCTGAAGGTTATGAGAGGGAGAGGAATCATTCTGTTCCCTTGTAGACGGTGAAGTCGGAGACAGAGACATTCCAGGCTCCTTCACGATATTCATACACTTTGTACCCGACTTGTTATAAATTACGGCCTGTTTTGTATTTTGTTGTGATTGAAAATTTGTTGGTGTTGGATGGGGAAAACTTTCTTCAGGCGGAAAAGCATGTGAGGTCGCCATCATAATTGCCGTTAAGTTTAGTATGACGTCCTGTTATGTGCTAGGTAAATTTGGTGATTTGCTAGGACTTTATAGAAAAAAAAAGATTTCCATTATTTAAGCCTGAAAGGTTTGAAGAAATGATACTAATAGAAACTAATAGTAACATTATTTAAAAGGTAAAAGATTAAGACCGCTTACAATTAACGGAAAGTCGAAGCAAGTGATTTATTAGTTTTTATATTTTTTGCTGAATAGTTAAAAGGCGGGTGATCTTTGAGTGGCTCTACAAGCGGTTTTGGTTTTGCGTCTTGGGCTTTTTTGGTAGTTTGTATAATTTTTTTTTTTGGGACTTTTTTTTAAACACCCAAACAGCTTACGAAAAGGGAGGCTGACCATTAATCACAAGAAATTATTTATGTAATACCTATGCGATATTATCGAGGTTAAACAAACTACCAAACGTCATCTCAAATTTGGGGATTACTATCACATAATAATGTTGGCTTAGCAACATTTTTTTTTTTCTATGATGATGTACATTCTTTACCATCTTACCATAATTAAAAAAAACATTTATATTATTATTATGTTCGGTGTCTGGTGATATTTCCCTTGTGGTTACTTCACTTTATTTCACTTATAACGGCACCGCAGCACAAAGAACATTGTTCACCCGTGATCATCAAAAAAAAAAAGTTATGTAACACACAGGAATCAGGATGGTAAACTTGTATAAGCATTCCCAATCGTTAGAAAGATGTAATAGAACATTGATAATCTTCGACAGATAATTCAAGTTAAAAGCATTTTTTTTTTTATTAGAGATTATTTATTGCTATTTCCGATAAGAGCCGCGGGGAAAAGATATGTGTTGAATAAAGATAAGGTAATAAAGAGTTATGCCCTCTGAAATTGAATCACGAGATTTTCCTGTAAATAACTATAAATATTCTACAGCTGCCGAATTTTATCCATACCTGGTTCTTATTAATCTGCATGTTCATGTTTGATATTTTTTTCAACCATTAATAGAATGATTAAAAATATGGCGGGAAAAAAAAAAAAAAAAAAAAAAAAAAAAGACCAAAAGGAAAAAATAATATAAAATAAAAAAATTTGATTATGCTTTACCATGAATGATTTTTCTTTAAGGAATTCAAAAACGCAGATTCTTGTAAATTATGATGATGCGCGAAGGGAACCCCCCATCCCTCGTCACTCATGCCCTTTTCTATTTACGGTAAGGCCCTGGAAGGGATCTTGGAAAGGATCCCGGGGAATATTGCAAATCCTTACCTTTTAATCCATTGCTTTAAATTAATATTTATACAGAACGTGTCAACCCGCGTCATTTCCTTTTTTGGCAGAAATATAATCGTCACGACTTACGTCATGATGTTTGGTTTATTTAAATTAAAAAAAAAAAAAAAAAATAAGTTGGACTAACCCGACTAACCCGACACGAATAATAAAAATACCTTTCGGGTTTTTGAGTGATATTGTCTAAAGATGAATATTTCAAACACACCTTCCAAGGTTCATATCAATTCTTACCATGATGAAAATAATGTTCCAACTTCGCGTAAAAGTAACAAACGTACCCTCGGTGACGATATGGATTTAACGCCTTTTAATATTTTGTCAAATGCGCGTATCCGCAGCCCTTCACAAGCTAGAACTTCGAGTATACTTCGTAATACTCCTGGTAAGCCTTTTGGTAGCAAGGAGAATTTGACACCTTATTTTGCACAACAATTCGAGAGTAACAAAATGTCAAGTATTACAAAGAGTTCCAAAACTGTGTCCGTTAACGGGTCTCAGACCGCTTATGATGATGAGATGATTTCACCGATGAAAAGGATCAAGAATGAAACCGGTCATATTATTAACGTCGATGCATATAAGCAAAGAATCGAACAACTTGAAGCCGAATTGAGGAGACAAATAGATGAATATCAGAAACTTAGAGAAGAAAGTCAGAAATCTTGTCAGGAATCGGAAAAGGCACTTGAAAGAACTAAATGTGAGTATCTACCATTAACATTCGTGCATATTTATTTTTATTTAATAATAAATGTATCGTTCTTTAAAGATATGGCTCTAAGTTACAAGAACGACTTATATGGGCCGATTTACATCGATGGTGACTACACGTCTATCAACAAATTATTGAGACGCTTGGTCAGAATTACAAATCAAGACGTTGTCAATAGATTCAAGGAGGAAACCCTGGTTGATGGTGAATTACCCGCGCTTAATCAGATCTATGGATGGCTTGAAGAATCAGGTATTTTGTTAAGATTGAAATTAAATATGTCTTCCACCTAAAATTTAGCACATTTCGTTTAAATATTTTTTGATATAGGATTCTTGAAATATGAAGTTCTCAAAGAATTCCGTGCCGTGGAGGCGGTCACGTCACTAGACCTGACCTATACCTTCGAAAAGATTAGGCATGATATCATCAATAAGACATTCGTTATTGATGATAGCTTGGAATTTCACATTATACAAAATACTAATCGATTGGTGTCCGCGTTTTGCTTGCCAAATGGCTTCCAATATTTAAAATCTTTGAAGTTGAGTTTCATGCCGATTGAAGATTCTTATTTTAACAACTTTCGAGGACTTAGAAATTTGGATGAGTTGGTCATTGAAGGTACCGGAATTGGGAACGAGGCTTTGTCTCATCTCGTAGCACTAAAAAGTAATTTGACCTTCTTGAATATCACTGGAAATCAAAAGATAAATGATGATTCCGTGGTTATTCTCGTTCTTTTCGAAAAATTAATTGTGTTGCTTCTAAATGACACTTCTATTTCCATGCATGGAATTCGTAAATTTGTTTCCGAGACAAAAAGCACCGACCTATCTCAACTTTCTATTCCTTCATCATGTCGCAAATATCTTATCAAACGAAATGAAATCTATTGTGTTGAACATAAAGAAGGAATGAAAGTTGACCCATCAAAAGTTCAATTCATGGACCTTTTAGAGATTCGACAACAATTAATGTTTCATTACGCGGTAAATAACCATATCAACATCGTCGGTTCTAAGGATGAATTAGAGGACTCATTGAGAGAGATTTTAACGCGACGATATTATGATGCAAAGATTATGATGCTAGCTGGTGGACGTGATTAATATGAAAATAAGGGAATCATAATAATATTTGGTTGTAATTCCGATAAAGCATTAAATTGATAAACGAATTCTTTTAATGATGATTTTATTTTATTTTTGAGAGGAATATCAAAGTCCAAAGTAATGTTAGTATAAATACATCAATAGGGTTATTTAATAGAATGAAAATCTGCTCAAAATATATTTAAAATAATAATAAAGAACCATGATAAATGAATGCATGAGAAAGGTTGTCCCTTGCGAATATAATACAAGAAAAAAATAAAGCTATCAGTATTTCAAATTTAGATGGGTAATGTAAAACGCACACATTAATTTCCTTCAAACTTTTTGTCATAAATAAAACTAATGGAATCACAAAATTATCTCTCTTTAAATATTTTATTCGCTATCCACCCAAGTACTGGCTAAAGTACCAAAAATCGGCATTTCAAATCGTTCCAAAGTAATTCCATCCACGTAGGCTCGATAACTAATATAAAATAATAATTTCAGTATCCTTGACAAGCTGATTTCTCAAATTAGAGTTAAAAGAATAATCTTTAACCAACCAAAGAAAAATAATTAAACCGATCTCCAAGATCACAAAGATCCAACTTAGGACCGAATTAATAAAAAGTATAATGAAATGGAAAAACTAAAAAATATGTAGATATAAAATATATTAGTAAATATTTGATAAAATAAATATAAATTTTAACATAGGAATTAATTATTACTCACAAAAATGGTTGCGAAAAATAAGGAAGACTTTATTAAAGAAAAAATTAGTTTATTCAATCAAATCGTATTATTACCTAAAATTGAATTGATTAAATTTTCGATTAAAATTATTCTCGTAAATTGATTTCTCACCTGCCACGCGTGAAATCGAACATAATCGTTCTTTTGTTCCATAATCAATAACATGACACCTTCAAGAAACAAGTTTTTTTTTTTTTAAAAAAAAAAAATTATAAACAATAAATCAAAATGTATTTAATATATTTTTTTTTAGAAAAGTGTGTTCACCAGTTACACAGCCCAGAGCATAAGCCAAAGCCGCTTCAATATCAACTCTATATCAAAAATACAGGATTTAAATCAAGTACGCGTAATATGTTAAAACAAATTAATAAATGAGAAATTATATGATAAGAAACCGCCTACCTTATTGGCAAGCCCGTCTCATATTTATTGATCTTTATTTGACCATCAGGTAATTGTTCGGTTTGTCGATAAACTCCGGCAAAGGGATTTGCAGAAGCAGAAGCAGAGGTTGATGCAGTTGTACTACTACTAGGAATCGGTGCATATCGAACGGAATTGCGATTCGATTTTTGTTCATCAGGAGGTGGAGTGTATGGTGAGAAGGTCGCTGGGTTTTGATATGACATGATCTTTTAGGAAAACTAAAAAAAAAGAAAAAAAGAGTCTCCTCAATTATTCATCATCAGTACATATAAAATCGGGAAAATCATGAATATCATGTGTATGTTTAACATTTCTGGAATGTTCTCTACCAATTCTGGAAAACCATTATGAACCGAATAAAATGACACGTTTTTTATTATATGATATTTATATTATATATTTATATTTCAAAAAAAACAAATACATTTGAATAATAAAATATAATTGTATTAAAGAACCAATGAGACATTTGTTCTAAATAATTGTTTTTATTTCGTCCCATAGTAAGTATGGTATACGTCCATCAGATTCTTTCCTCTAGATTTTGCAATTTCAGAAGGCAAGTTTTGACTATTTAAAGCTTCAAAGGTGCATTTTATAACATTCATTCCATTGCAAGAACCATGAACCTTTGCAGAAATATCTTGAATGCCAACGCATTTAGCAACTTCATGTATATAATGATTACATCTTATACCAAAACCTAAAAATAATTTGATGAATGAATAAAGAAATAAAATAACGTTTAATTTAAATTAATTTAATCATGACTTACCTGGAGGTCTGGCCCATAACTTTATCGTGGTTCCATGAAATTTATGTTCTATATCATGATATAAGGTTCTATCGTCATACCTTTCAAAATACCTTAGACTTTTTATGGCTATATTAGTAGCCTTTTTGATGGCAGTTTGAACCTCATCATGTTTCCCCTCACCAAAACCAGCAACCCCTTTGCCATTACCTACTACCACCAACGCATACATGCTAGGAATTCTGCCCTTTTCGGTTTGACTTGAAACGCGCTTTATGATGAGAGTTCGTTTCTGTAAATCACGAATTTCCGAAGGAGAGAGCCTGGTGACAATTGATAAGGCATCAATATCATCACTTTCGGTTTCCGGTGCCGTGATTACCACGGAAGGACGAGTAACTGGAAATGGAGGATCAACTATCGGTCCTGGTACATCTAAAATCGGATCAAGCTTTGATAGGTCAGGAAAGTTGGATGTGTCAAGTCCTTGTACGCGAAGCGACCTGACTTTTTTATTTTTTTTATTGTTGATATCGGCAGCATTAGGTTCCGTAGGATTCGTTGAAAGTGGGCGAAACTGATAAACGCTAGTACATGTTAAAGATTTCTTGAAGTTGCATGCGTTATATACAAGAACATTGTTTACGACTCTTGACCGCGAAATATGAAATGGAACTTTTGTAAGCAAGTTCATAATAATAAAAATTTTTGAAATCAATTTTCATGAGATTGAACTTTTTATTCCACGTGACGATATCGGCTTTCATTTTTTAATTAAGCTATATTGGGTTTTGTTAATAGTATATAATTTTCTTATCATAAAAATATCCAAACCCTTTTTTCGAAGGGTAGCGTGAAAAAAAATAAAAAATGAATTTTATATCTGGTGACCCCGAAGATTGCATATCTCTTCCTAAGCTTCGTGATACACTCATTCGTCTCGAAGATACTATAATCTTTGGTTAGTTGTCAACAAAAAAAAAAATAATAATAATATTTTGCGGGTGTTCAATGAGAACCTAATAGAGCTGAATTTTTTCTTCATTGCATTTTAGCTTTGATTGAAAGAGCACAATATTCTATTAATAAAAACATTTATGTGCCTGGGATGTATAAATATGAGCAAAGCAATGGATTTGATGGAAGTTTTCTTGAATATTTTTTGAGTGAGGTTGAGAAAGTTCATGGTAATTAAATTACCCATCATAATTATTTGATTTAAATTTTTAAAGAAATTTCCTTGAAACTTTAAAAATTTTTAAATTTACTTTCTTAAACTTGTAGCAAAAGTAAGAAGGTATCAGAGGTATGGATCTTTTTAAAAAATTCATCTTCAAGAAAATTAACAAGGGAACAAAAATATATTTATTTTTTATTTTTATTTTACCCATCCTTTTTTAAAAAGTCCCGATGAATACCCGTTCACAGAATCCCTACCGAAACCGATTATCCCCCCCCTTAAGTATCCCCAAATTCTTAAATCTAATAATATCAATCTTAATAATAAAATAATGAAATTTTATCTCGAGAACATCGTTCCTTCTTTATGTTCTCCAGGAGATGATCAAAATTATGGTTCGGCGGCAACCAGAGATGTCGAGTGCCTTCAAGCTTTATCTCAAAGAATTCATTATGGTATGCCGTTAAATCATTTTTCATTAATTAATATAAAATTATAAAAATTATTATTAATTTCATTAATTTTGAAGGAAAGTTCGTTGCTGAGGCAAAATTTCGTGATCCGGAAACACAAGATAAATACATCGAATTCATTAAAAATCGAGATGTTAAAGCACTTGAAACCTTGTTAACTAACAAAAAAGTTGAGGATGCTTTATTGAGAAGACTTAGGCGTAAAGCTTTAATATACGGTCAAGATATTACAGAACATGGTAAAATTAATTTAGATAATTTACAAACTTCAGAACATTTAAAAATCAAAGTAGATGTAGTTGTTGAATTGTATGAGAAATGGGTTATTCCTTTGACCAAGCAGGTTGAAATTGAATATTTATTGATAAGACTTGATAATGAAAAGAAGTAATAAAGTCATTCTTCATGTAAATACTTTTTTTTATTTTTTGGAAATAATAAATAAAAATCAAAGTCCTGTCCTTTAAATCTACTTGTTTAGAACAAGCATAACAAAATTTGGTTAAAAAAAAAAAATGACGCGTTTTATCATTTCAAAGTAGCACAAAGAATGTTAATCGAATATCGATTTGGCTATTCTCTAAACTTTTATTATGCGTATGGCATGATAAACTAGCAGATAAGGATTACTATTGATTACTATTCAAGTCGTTTTTATTTTTCAATCTGCGCGTTACAACTGACGTATTTAGGAAATTGGATCTAAATTTGGAGAGAGCATATTTTTTCGAGGAAAATTATACTATTCTAGGTTTTATTATGATACCGTTTGTGCGACTCCCGTCGGACTTTCCCCTTACCTAGATTTCGCTATTTGACACGAAACAAAAGTCACCGATTAAACAACGCATGAAATATTTTCATGCGATATCATGCTTAATATTAAACTTTACACCGAAATTTTTATATGTTAGTGCTAAAAAGTCAATAAAATTTTATAAACGATTTTTTTATTTGTTAATTTATCATTCCGTAAGTCGTGCATGGCTCGTGACGATTCGTGTCACTTGAAATTTTCTCACCTACGTGCTAGTTAATTCATACCCCACGCACACTCGATTTTTTTTTTTTTTTTTTTTTTTTTTAATTCACGTTTTTGTTCGGTGACCAACTACATTTTCTCCCTCCCCCCTTTACAACTGTCTTAAACTTTTTAATAAAACGTGTTAGAAATAATTTACATTCGGAATGGATAATAATAAATCACCAAACATATTACCTGCTCAAACGTCGTCTTCGGACGCTTCAAATGAAAATTTAAATAACGCGAGTACACCTTCTAAATCACCAGCAACTATCCCATCTTTACTTGGTACCCCTTCTACACCAATTCCGAGTACTTCAGAGGTTAGCTCTCCAATTCCAAGACCAAATGCCGGCCCTATTTACTCGGCTGTTTACTCGGGTGTTCCGGTATATGAGTTTCTTATAAGGGATGTCGCCGTAATGAGAAGGCGACCGGATTCATACTTGAATGCCACCCAAATCCTAAAAGTCGCTGGCCTCGAAAAAGGAAAACGTACCAAAATCATTGAAAAAGAAGTCTTAACCGGCGAACACGAAAAAGTTCAGGGTGGTTATGGAAAATATCAGGGTACTTGGTATGTTTTTATTCAATTATACGTGTGAAATATATCTCCTTTTGATATCACCGGAAATTTCAGAGATCAAAACAATGGTTTGAAAGTAGAAATATTTCTTTTATCTTTTAATATTTTCATAATTTCTTTCTTTAATAATACTTTAATTACAAAATTTTACTTATAATATTTTTCCATTATGAATTTAATCGATTATTAGGGTTCCTTTTGAAAGAGGCAAGGAACTTGCTGAACAATATGGTGTTCTTGAAATTTTACGTCCTTTATTGGATTATCAACCACCTAAACACGATGTACCGTATTCGTCCTCTCCTTATACGCCCACAAAAGAACAAGCGATGGCTGCTCTACGTCGAAGAAACGCGCTAAATAATCAAAATAATCAAAATAATCAAAGCAATCAAAGTAATCAAAGCAATCAAAATAATCAAAGTAATCAAAGTAATCAAAGTAATCAAAATACTAGTAATAATACCGCAAATGCAAATGTTGCAAATGTTATAGCGAATGGAACTGTAAATAACAACAATAATAATAGCAAAAAAAATAACAACAACATTAACAACAACAATAACAAAAACAAAAATAAAAACAATAACAATAATAATAACAGCAGCAGTAGCAGCAGCAGTAGCAACAATAACGATAACAATAACGACAACAATAACGACAACAACAATAACAACAACAATAACAACAGCAACAACAACAACAACATTAATAATAATAACAACCAAAACAGCGACGACAACAACAATAATAACCACAACAACAACGACGACAACAATAACAACAACAACAACAATAATAATAATAATGGTCATGAAGAAGCTACTGCACGTTCGGAAGTTTCTGAGCCAATACAAACTATAAGTGAAATCGAAGATGAGGAACGTCTTCGAAGTATATTGTTAGCTATTTACTGCAACGAAGATTCAAATTCGATCCCTGAACTCATCGCACAAGTTTGTTCACCATTACCGACAGACTATGATATAGTTCTAGACGAAGGTGGGCACACCTCTCTTCATTGGGCGGCTGCTTTAAGTCGCTTAAAAGTTGTAGAATTATTACTGTCAAAGGGTGCAAACTCAACAAAACCTAATTATGATGGCGAATCTGTTTTAATTCGCTCGGTTTTAACAACGGCAAATTACGAGTCACAAACCTTTCCTTCTATAATAGAACTTCTCCATGATAATATATCGTTGACAGATAAAGATAATCGTTCTGTCTTTCATCATTTGGCATTGAGTGGAGCCGTCAAAGGTCATTGCGCTCCAGCGAAATATTACATGGATTGTTTATACGAGTGGATAACATCACATAGCGTTGATATCTCGGCAGTACTAAATATCCAGGATAATAACGGTGATACGGCGCTAAATCTTGCTACAAGATTAAAACAATCTCACATGTCTCAACAATTGCAAGAAATGGGTGCAAATCGTCAGATTGAAAATAAAATAGGATTACGACCCTCAGATTATAGTCCGAATAACGCTGAACAAATGGAAATTGATGAATTACAAGAAGTATGTTAATTTTATTTAAATCGTCATTTCATCATACATGCATTTTCATATTAACGTTCTGATCTCTTTGGTTAGAATGGACAAATTCAATCTACAGACATGACAAATGATGTCTTTATGCAGTCAGATACGACTACGTATACCAATCCGCGTAAAAGAAACAGAGAAGTTGTTGAAAGTAAACAATTGATTTCCAAACTGTGATAAATATACGAACATTATGAATTATTAACGCGTTATTTATGTATTTTATTAATTATTTTTCTTTAGTTATTCAAAAAATTGTTGAAGATGCGGAAAATGAATGGATAGAACAACTTAAATCGAAAGATGAACAAATAATCAATTCTCGAAGCCAGTTTAATCAAAACTCAAGGCAGCTTATTGACGCACAAAGAAACGTGCAATGGTATCGTTCACAAGAAAAGGAATGTGATGAAATTGAAACAAGAATCAAATTCCTTGAAACAGCTTTGCGTAAAGAACGTGAGGATCAAGATGATCTTGCCCCACGAAAGCGTCAGAAACTCTCACATTCGAATGAGAACGATTTAAACGATTCATTATCTGTAATCCCAATCTTTGCACCATCAGTATCTACTTCGATTTCATCATCCACAACTCAATTGCCACCAGTAGAAACTCCGTTTTCGTCTACAACGCAATCAGCAACAACAAAAGCAGATTCTCCACTAAATGATAACGTGTCAACGAGTACCATTTCAACAATAGTTGCTTCACCCTCAATAACGCTAAGCAAGCTTCCAGAAATTATTATTACCCCTCCAAATGATACTGTTCCGTCATCATCATTATCAGCTCATCCCACCACGGCAGTTTCAAGATCTGCGGCTGATGAAATGATCGATGGAGAAATAAGGAGTTTGCAGGCGCAAATTACCGCGTATACACTTGATCAAGAACTTCTTAAAGATGAGATTGCAGCTCTTGCTGAGACCACCGACAGGTCCGAGATGCAGTACAAAGGCATTATTGCTTCATGTTGCAAACTTGACATCGACAAAGTAGATGATTTTGTTGATAGCATAATTAGCGCCATTGAAAGCGACAGTAATGAACTTAACCGGGACCACATAGGAGCCTTTATGAATAAGGTTCGTGGTTCCGAAAGCATTTAGGCTTTTTTTTTTATTTTCTGTTCATAATCACACTTCATTTTTTTTTTGGCCACTTCGGTAAAGAAAATTATTTACGTAATTTTTTTACCATAAACTAATGTGCACATTTTGTGTAAAAAAAATTATATATAACTCGTGTCCATTATATCTAAAAAAATCTTCAGCGGCGGTAAATAAATATGTATTAAATAATAATAATAATAATATTAATTTTTTTTAAAAAAAAAAGTTAGTAATAAACAAAAAAAAAATATATATATATATATAATTCTTGGAATTGTATAGTACGACACACGTTAGTTGCCTATAGAATATCTTTGGTCGATTAATGATTCATTTTTTTAGTTAAATACGAAACAAATGAATAACATGATTAATTAACGCAAACACGGGTTCGCTCTTATTATATTTTATTTATAGATAATAGATTCACTGTCACGCGTAAAGTAATAATTAATCAGAACATTAAACAGATGAGGTGATTATTATAATTAGGTAAATATTATTATTAAAAATTTTTTATTGAAATATTGTTATTCAAATATTATACGGGTACAATTCAACTGTTATAAATAAAAAGTTCAACGCTTTCTTTATTATCAAATCTTTATTCGCCGTGCATTTTTTGTATGGATTAACTTATTTATTTTGAAATTAAGTTAGAATTTCATTATTGATTTTGTTGCGTTTTTGGTATTGCACCTAACATTAAAGGTGGAATCTTAGAATTTAGTGGTAATAGGGATGCTGCTGTTTTGCGGGATTGTTGAATCATAAGAGCACTATTAAAGAGAGATTAAATAAGTATTCAATTCAATTTATATGAGATTAAATAATCGTGGAAAGCCTTACTCCATAATAACTAATGCCGCCATTGCTTCAACGATTGGCACAGCGCGTGGAACTACACATGGATCATGACGACCTCGAGCCGCAAGTACACCATCAACACCATCATAATTAGCAGTTTTTTGTTCTTGAGAAATAGTAGCAGGTGGTTTAAATGCAACTCTGAAATAAATATTTTCACCATTCGTAATGCCACCCTATACAAAATATAGAAATCTATAATATAACTATTAAAAGAATTATTATAAATTCAAATAATTTTCGATATTATTACCTGAATACCACCGGAATTATTGGTTTTAGTCCCTAATCTACCACTTTCTGTTTTTATCCAAGGATCGTTGTGTTGATGACCTAATAATACGGTACCCTTGAATCCACTTCCAATTTCAAAACCTTTTGTAGCTGGAATGGAAAGCATTGCATGCGCAAGTTTTGCTTCTAATTTATCGAAACACGGTTCACCTAGTCCGGTGGGCACATTACGAATAACGCATGTAACGGTCCCACCAACAGAATCATTAGAAGCTTTAGCCTCAAGGATACGCTATAAGTAAGTTAAAAGCTTGGTCTTTAGTTTAGGCGCGTGTATAATGATAAAGTTGACTCGCTCAAAAAAGAAAAAATCTTGACCTCTTTCATTTGATCAGTTATAACTTTATCGGGACATCGAATATCATCCTTGTCGATTTCTTCTCGGCTTACTGTATTTAGAAAATCCCAAAAATCTATGGGAAACAACCTTTCATCTTGTTCATGTATGAACGACATTGCTATATTTGAAACGGAAGACACAAATGCAACGATCTCAACTCCATGAGCAAGTTTTAAATATTTTTCAGCGATAGCACCAGAAGCCACTCTTCCTATTTTAAAAATCAATCACGTATAATAAATGAATGTCAATCAGAGTTGTAATTGAAATCGGTTGAGGTGATCCGAACCTATTGTTTCTCGAGCGGACGCTCTACCTCCTCCACTACTTGCTTTGACACCATATTTTTCTAAATACGTCCAGTCAGCATGACTTGGCCTTGGATACAAATCAGTCTCTGAGTAATCATGAGGTCTTTGATCCTGATTTGGAACTAATAATCCAATTGGGGTACCTAAAGTTATACCAAATTCTGTACCCGATTGTATCGCCACCAAATCTTTTTCATCCCTCTAAATAGTAAAGCCCAAAAATGTTAATTACCCTTACAAATAATATGGAAAAAAATTATTTATTTATTTTTTTTTTTTTTCACTTACTGGAGTTGTCAAGTTGCTTTGACCTGGCCTTCTTCTACTAAGTTGTGTTTGTATGTCTGCTTCAACCAGAGGTAATCCAGGCGGACAACCGTCTACAATACAACCCACGGATTTACCATGAGATTCTCCATAAGTGGTAACGCGAAAAATTGTTCCAAATGTACTCATTATGTTTCAAATGCAAAAGTTCGAACAAAAATAATTATTTATACTTTGTCTTTAAAATATAAGATGTGGCTTCTTAAAATCGTGGCTTAATAATTTTATTTAGTTTATGGCCGAATACGAGTCCGATTCATCCGATCTTGACCCGTGAGAAGGCAATCTTTTAAGATCGATATTTAGACCGATCATTTTAAACCGGTCTTGGGATCGATTTTTAAACATAAAAAAAAAATAAAAAAAAAGTTATGTCGTAGCTTTGTTATTATTTTTTAAATATTTATTTGTTTTTATTTGTTAATTAAATTTAATAAGATGCTATAAACGCACTTATAGAGAGTTGACTGTATTCCGTTGTTTTTATATGTAAACTTTTATGCCTTCGTTTTTAGATTCCTTTCGCATTCAAAACAAAGGACTTTTCATTATTAACGAATTAGCTTACAATTGTATTAGAAAATGCTACTGTAACAACGATATAAGGCTTATCCTAATAAATATAAAAAGAAATAGCTTTTATATTCAAAATTTCTTTTTATCTTTAAAATTTTTTATAATCATAAAATCCTAATTCTGGCCTAAAGATTCGGGATAATCCCTCTGACGAATTCCTAATCTAGTTTATTATATCGTCGAATATAGATGAGGGACGAAACCCCTTAATAACAGTCGAAACTTAGACGAAACTATATTAAAATCATAATAAGAGATACGACGAAACCCATTCGATACGACGAAAAGCCGAAACTGTCGAAACTATATTAAAACATAGAAAAGGGTATGACGAAATTATTTTGAGGAGGTTCTATAATCACGCCAAAATTTTTTTGATCCCCGATGGGGGTGTGTGACTATATAGGAATAGTATGTTTTTTTCATGATATGAGTAGCGAAGGTCGGTCCCTTTCGTTACACTTATGCTACGACAATGGAGTCCGATATGAGTCGATTGCTTTAGTTAAGATCGCTCCGGACTAAAATTAAAAAAATTTTACCTACGTGATTTTGGCCGGCATTATGGAACTTGGTCACGTGGTGTGAAATTTTTATGATAAATTAAACCTTCAGATCCGAGATGAAAAAGGTAACCTCGATGATTTGCTTATCAACAAAAAAAAAATTTTTTTTTGATCTTTGAAATTTAATCGAAAAAATGATATTACGAGGAGGTAGAATTAAATTAACGTTTAATTCAACAACTACAGCACAATTCCACTCCATACTGGATAAGTGTTGCTGGAAGGTGCTTAGACGGTCATTAACGTTTAATTCACCAAGTAACAACAATGGTATAAGTAGACTTTGTAGGAGCGGTAGCATGTTTAGAAATGGAAATAATTGTAGGGACATTACCAAGCAACAGCAGCAACAGCGACTTACTGGAAATATAGTTAGGAGGATGAATAGTAATTGGGAGAGCGATAATGGTAGTGGAGAGGTTACAAATGTGAACGTCGGAAACAACAAGACACAGACAATGAATGCGATAAAGATTTTACATGAATTTTTCGAATACACAAAAAGAGATTGTAAGGATTTTCCAATAAATCTATATAATATTGATGAATTATGGTATTTTTACGTGAATCAAAATCATACCTTTTTAAATAATATACCAATTCACATTCATTTAAGATTATTAACTTCCTTATATGAAGAAAAAGACATAGAAAAAGTATTAATTATAATAAAGTATTTAAGAGGAAGGGAGAATATAGTGAAATGGTTAAATAATAATCTAATGATGTTAGAATGCATAATTAAATTAAATATAAAGGAGGCCATTAAAAAATTTAATTGGTTAAATATAATGAAAGAAAAGATACCCATATATACAGTTAATTATTTAATTTCAAAGTTAGTTAAAAGTAATGAAATAATTACGGCCGAGGAATTATTTGGAAAAGTTGGAAGAGACTATGAGGATGTGAAAATATATAATAGTATGATGAATGGATACGTTAAAGAGAAAAACATCACAAAGGCATTAGATTTATTAGAATTGATGCAAAGGAATGGGATTAAACCAAGTCTAATAACCTATAATATTTTGTTGAATTTATTTGGTAATTTAAAAGCGCAAGCTCAGGCCGAACAAGTGTTTGAATATATGATGGAATCCGGGATTGAACCCGACATTACAAGTTATTGTGGAATCATGTTATCTTGTGCAAATAATAAAAATATTGAAAAATGTTTTTATTATTTTAAACAATTGACCGAAAGAGGAATTGAACCAAACATTTACATTTATTCTATTTTGATGTCGGCATGTGTTAAAGCGGGATATACAAGGGAGGCGATTAGATGGTTTGAAAGGATGGTTCATGTTTCAAAGATTGAACCTAATGTCGTTACTTTAACGACATTAATTTGCGCTTGGATTAAAAATAAACCTCTCATATTGAATAATGATACCATAGATCTCATATTTGAGGATATTAAAAGGTATGGCGTACCAGATTTAATAGCTTATACGGCATTAATTAATGCTAAAACAAAACAATTGAAATTGGATGAAGCAATTTTCGTTTATCAACAAATGCTTAAAGATGATATTAAACCTAATGTATACACTTATACTATTTTAGTGGATGCTTGTGCTAAATTGGGGGATTTACACACTTCTCTGAAACTATTCGAAGATATGAAAAAAAGTGACATCCCTCCTAATCAGTTCACTTATTGCGCTATTATGGTCGCTTTTGTTAATAATGGTCAATTATCAAATGCGTTCAAAACCTTTGAAGAAATGAAACAACATGGATTACAACCTGATATAGCATGTATTAATTGTTTAATGGATGCCTGTAATCGCTCTGGGTTAATGTCTTTATTATTTCAATTATATTCTGATTTAACTGAAAAATATAACTTGAAACCCGATAATAGGACCATATCAATTTATATCGATGCCTGTGCTTATAATGACCAATTTCATATTGGAAAAAATTTTTATATGGACTTAATTAAAAACCAATCTCCTATAATTACTTTAAATATTCAAAATTTCTTATCTATCATTAATTTATTAGGCAAAAATGGTTACTATAGTGAAATTGTTGAAGTATTAAAAGTTATGAAACAAAGGTTAATTAAACCGGATAAAACCATTAAACTAGCCATTTTCACTTATTTATATGAATTAGATAAGAGAAAAGAGATTGAGGACGTTAAATGTATCTTACATGGTTGGACTTCCATTCCAAATAAATGTGATTTGATTAAATTTAAAAATCGACATAGATGGTAATTTAAAAAAATGAAAAAGGTTAAATGAAAAAGGTTAAATAAAAAATTTTAATTCATTCTTATGTCTAATGAGAGAGATATTTACAATTTTGGTATTGCAGAATAATGTGAATTTGTTATTGTCCCACCTCAATTAAAATAATTACTTTTAATTACAACAACTGAGAAAGTAAAAAAAGAAATATAATGATAATGTAGAAGAGGAAAAATGGAAAAAGAAAAGGAAAAGGACGAGTTGAAAGGAAGTAATATAAGCATATTAGTGTAAAAGAATATACAAAGAATTATTTACTTATATAGCCAAACATAAGAAATCAATCCTCAGGCTTTTCTTTAAGTAAAAATGAAACACAAAAAGGATAAGGTAAGCAAACAAGCAACTCTGAGAATACATATATTTGATGTTATAATTATTTTCTTCTATTCCTTATTAACAGGATTTTTTTCTTTTGCTATTGTTATTCCTTTAATTCATAATTTCTTCTTCATTTCAGTTGTATTTTATTTTTTGAATATAACTATTTATAAGCATTATGAGATTATCAATAAATTATTAAAATTGATATTTTTTAATCCTTTCTATTTTTAGAAAAAACTGCTTTAATGACATTAACTTGTTATTTTTGTTCATCATTAAGCAATATTTTAGAAGGATATCATTAGAAAAAGAATATTTCATGTTAAAGCAAAACTTGAGATATTTGTAACTTTTTACATATTTATTTTTACTTTTTTACAGCAATTTTAAAATGATTTCAATATAACTGTTAAATTAGAAGGTTAGTACAATCAAAATATTTAATATTTTTTTATCAGCATTTACTTATAAGTATGTAAATTTCAAAAGTGATTTTAAATAGTATCTTCTATTGATAATTTTTTAATGAATAGTAAAAGAACATTCAGATGAAGCAAGTTTACACTATTTAATTAACAAAATTTCAAAAAAATTAGAATGAAAAAATATAAATAAAGCAATTAAATTTAAAGATTTAAAAGTTTATAATATCACTTTAACTAATCCAGAAACTTTATATTTCTTATTATATAATATTCTACAAAATAATTATACTTTATTTTAATAGTCTGTAATATTTTGCTCATTAGATGCATTTTAAAATGAAATCTCTTTTTCATATAATTATTTAATAATAGAGCAATTTTATCAATAAGAATATATAAAAATTAAGATATTTGAATTAATTATTAGAAAAATCAGATTCTTGAAAATTTTTTATTAAAATATATTATTTAGTCAAAAATTCAAAATCTGATTTTCTTAGTAATTTTATACATTTATAATTATAAATATTTAATAAAATTGATTATATATATTTTAAAATAATGAAATAATAATAAAATATATGAAATTTTTTACATATAATATACTTAACTTATGTAATAAAATTTTGATTAAACTTATTTATCAAAATGGGTTCTATTATAATTTTTTAAACAATAATTTTTAAAAATTATAAAAATTTATTTAGTATAAAGTATAAATAGAATAATGTATTATATAATTTATTATTTTATTATTATAATTTTTTAAAATACTATTGATTATTATCTAAATAGATTTTTTCATAATAAACTAATAATAAAAAAATATTTTAAATATTTAATTCAAATAAAAGATATAAAGAAATTAATTTAAATAATTAGACAATAATTAATTTCTGTATAAATTATTTAGTATTAAAATAACTTTAAATATTTATATTAGTTTTGTATAACATTTTGAAACAAGTTAGATCAACCTGTTTATCTGATCTGATCTATTCTGAAAATTTAAGTTAAATCAGTAAATCTTTAGATTAATATCAGATTAGATGACTTAATCTCATCTAATAAAATTTGGATCAACCAATCATTTTTTTGAATAATAATGAATTATTTAATTAAAACAATAATAAATTATTCTTTTTGAATAATAACTAATTGTTTAATTATAATGATAATATATATCATTTAAATAGAATGATAATGAATTTTTCATCTTAAATGATAATGAATTATTCTTTTTAAATAATAACTAATCATTTAATTAAAATAATAATATATAATATTCAATTAAAATAATAATAAATTGTTTTTTATAAATAATAACTAATTTTTCAATTAAAATAATAATATATATTATTTAATTAAAACATAATAAAATGTTCTTCTTGAATAAATTGATTAGATTAGATCAGGTCAAATGAAAATTAAAATTAAATCAAATTTGTTTGACTTGATCTAATCTTCTCAGTTCAAATAATTTAATTGACTTAACCTAAATTGAATTATTTAAAACTCTAATTTTATTTTATAATATCTGATTATTATACTTATTGAAAATATTTATAAATATTTTAAAATAAGCAAAAGGTAATAATCAAAAATAAATAAATAGAAATTTTTTACAAATTATTTTATATTTTTACATTTAATAATTTTATTTAAAATTTATTTTATCAAAATTATAAATGCATATTTTCATATATAAATTTATATTTTAAGATTTATTGAATATAAGAAAAATTCAATTTTAATCTACAAATATTTATATTAAATTTACAATATAATATATATTAAAAATACATAGTTTTATATAATATTAATTTTATTAAGTAAGTATTGATAAAACTTTATATAATCTTTTTTAATATATTTATTTTCATTTTCTAATCTAATAAAATTTAATATTTAAAATTTTAACTATAAAGTATATAATACTAATTTTTGAAAAACAAAAAATTAATAACTTATATATTATATAATAAAAAAAACTAATAAATTTATATTAAAAATAATAATGTTTTTTATTATGATTTCTTTATTATTATTTTATATTAAGCAAAATATTTGTTAATTTTAATAATAATATAGTAAAATCAAGATTATTACTATTTTTATTCCTTTCTATTATTTTTTTTTCTATATTATCATTATTTTCTTATTTTTCTTAAAAAGTTTATTATTACTATTTTGTAATCTATTTAAAAAGATTTTATATTATCAAATATATCATGCTTATAATATTATTTATAATAATTATATCTATTTTTTTAAATTATTATAATATGTCTAATGATAATTATATTTATAAACTAATATTATATTATACTATTATTATTTAATTTAGTATCACATGCATTATAAATAAAAATAGATTCCATAATTATTTTCAAATTTCAATTGAATTACAACTTAATTATACTATAAGAAAATTTAATTGCATTATAAATTATAACTTAATTGCAACATTTTTAATTGCAATATATATATTTAGTCATAAATATTTAGTTTAAAAGAATGTCTTATATTTAGTTAGTAGATTTATAATATCTCTTGTTAATTTAATAATTACAATTTGATAAATCTTATAAAAATATTATAACAAAAATAAATTTACATTACTTATTAGAAAATTAAGCTTTAATGAAGTATAAAAATAATATCATTATATTTAATAAATCTTTTTAAATATATCTAAAATGTGAAAATCTTAGTAAATATTAAACTTTTATTAATTTATTTTTTAAATATTTTTAAAAAACTTACTAATTATATATATCTGTTTAATAATATTATTTATACTTGCATTTATAGATATATTTATTTAAATTTTACTATGTATATTCTCTACTAAATAATTATAAAACTGAATAAAAATGTTTAATTATTTTTAAAAAAGAATGATTAATATCCTTTTAATAAAAAATATTAAACAAAATACTAATAATACTTTATATAATCTTTATATTTCTAATATAATGTAAATATTTATATATAAAAAAATAATTTTAATATATTTATAAATGATTCAAAATGAAAAGTATTACTTTTATATCAAGAGTTATTAGAATTAAATTATTTAATAAATTAAGAATCATTTAATATTCAATAACTTTATATATAAATACAAATTTATTTTTGATAATTGTTCTAATTTTCATATATTTATAAATATACTAATTCTAATAAAATATTTATTCTTCAAAATTTGGATTTCTTTATCAGTTTTATGCATTCTTCAAAATAAATGAAATAAAAGTTAAAAAATAAATAATATACTAGTATTACCTATTTTTTACTATTAAGTAATACATGCAAAAGTCTAAAAATAAATAAAAATTGTATACTAAATGAAATATAATTTCTTGCTATTTATTTTTATGTATATAAATAAACTATAACTTTTAAATAAATAGTTAGTTTGATCAATTTATAATAACTGAGTTACATAATTATTAAAATATATATTATTACTACTTTTTAAAATTATCTTTAATGTATTTATATAATCTTGTATTAAGTATAGTTATTATCTTTCATTCCAATTAGTTATACATTTTTTATTTTTTTTATTCTATAATAGTATTATCATAACTATATATTATGAGTAATTTAATATAATTAAAATTAGTAAGTTTTATTTTTTGCTAAAATGAATATTTTATAGTAAAAAGAAAATTACCAAAAAAAATTTTTTTGAATTAATGTTAAATCTAAATTTATTTTACTAAAAAATAATAAAGTAATAAAAATTTTTTTTAATATTTTCTATTGCAAAAAATCCAAATATTTATTAATTAATCAATAATTAATATTATATGTATTTATATTTATAAGATTATGAATTGAAATAATGTTAACATGCAATCTTTTTAAATTATAATTGTTAGACATAATGTTAGAGGGTTAACTCTTTTATAGTTTATATAATAAAATCATAGTTTTTAAGTTAAATAAGGTTCAGTTATATACTGAAAAATATATTCAAATCTTCAACGAATGTATGATTTATTCGTAATATACTATTAAGCAATATTGTCATAAAATATTGATAGAATACTAATGGAATATAGATAAGATAAATAAGACATTTGAGACATAATGTAAGACAGGTTAGGATATATAGCTGAGATAACAATCTCTGGAACATCAAAAATAGACATTACTGCTGTTAAGTATATTTAATACACATTGAGTATATTTCTATCAATTAAGTTA